GCATGGAGCGGGGAGGAGGAGGAGGAGAAGGAGCGTCCATTTGTCGTTCGCCGTCGTGTGGTCAGCTAATGACCGTAGCGAGTGATGTGGCGCCAGAACACCGCCCGAAGCGACAGCGGCAGAGGACGGCGCCGGACGCGCGTCCAGGCCGGGTTCTGTCCCCAGTCGGTTGTCACCGTCACGTACGCGTGGCAGCCAGCGCGCACCGTCACGTCAGATGGGGGGAGGGGCGCTCGGGACCAGATGAGGACATTGGCGTCTGACATCTGCGGGATGAGAGATCGTGGTCGAGTCGACGCATCCATTCGAGCACCGAGGCACGTGGAAGCACGTGTGGCGGGACCATTGCCACGCTCACGGCGGTGCGGTGGCCCTTCATGACGGGCGACTGCAGAGCGCAGAAAATCTTTCCCAGACCAGCCGAACTGCAAATCCACCGCCCGGCGACATTTAGCCGCCTCATCGCTGCTCCACCAGGGGTAGATGGATGGCAATTTGGTTGATCAATAACTAAAAGCTAACCTTCAACCGGAACGTAATGGCACACGAAATTATGCGTTTCGTCTGCATGGAAGTATGAAAATCGTGACATGAATTAATTTACTTTAAAGATTGGCGCCAATAAGGCGGTTGCGAGTTTCCTAAGCCGCGTTTCAGTGAGCTTATATATCACGTGTCCTCGACAGTATTGCTCAGCGGACGAAGGCCATTCAAACAGTTGCAACTAATATTGCTTTGGTGGCCATGTTTTAAAGGTGGTGTCTACCTTTTTGGCAAAACGTTATTAAAATAACCAAATAAAACACATTCTCCCAATAGTTCAGACAGGCCACATCTCCGAAAATATTGATGGCGACCCATCATACGAGGCGAGATAAAACGCCAGACCTGATTAAACGCTCCCTCGTAAAGCCACGTCGCAGGGTGGTCTTCGACAGGCAGCGAGATCGCGTTCCGCACGGCTCCCGCGGAGCACACCGGCGCCGAGGCGGTTCCGTCGTGTGCGAGACGAGCCAATGCAACGGAGTCACCCCGCCCTCATCAGAGCTCCGTGTCTCGCACTGCACTGCGCGGTGGGGGGGTGCAGTTCCTCGGCGCGGCGACCCGTCGCGCAGAGGTCGGGGGGGGGGGGGGGGCGGAGAGGGGAGGGGGACGGAAGTACAGTCATTCGGCGCGGTGACTACCTGACGGAAGGCTGGACAGTCGACTCCAAAGGGACGCGCCGTCGGTCTGGGAAAGGCTTGGTTGAAACCCATATGACCGGCAAGGGCATCGTACGGGAGACACAGAACCAGGCAGCAGAGAAGCAGGCGCCCAGACCGCCTCTGCCGGGGGATAGTGGGACAGCGGAGGGTCCCCGCTGGCTCCCCGCTGGCGCCAGCGGCGGCGGCGACTTCGCGGCCCGGCGGCTGGGGCCCCTCAGGACACGCCGCAGTGGAGGTCGGGACAGGGGAGCCGAGACCCGGCGCGTCTCCGGGGATGGATGCACGAGCGTGATGGCCCACCGCCTGAGCGATGATGCCTGGGCTCCGGGGCCCGCGGGGCCGCTGGTCCCGTTCTGTATGAGCGGCGACCCCGGGCGAGGCCACGGCGGCGCCATCCATCTCAGCGGCCCATCGCTCGCCAGTGATTGTCGGCCCACTCAGCACATGCAAACGCACGCAGCTGCGCCAGTCGAGTCGTTAGCGTGGAGTACCTACGTATAACCCGCCTGATTAGTTTGGTGGTGATTAGGATGGTCTGGACGATCAAAGGACAACCAAGGCGTGATCGCTTGAGACCAAGCGCGACACGAATTGATCTGCGAGGCATATGATGCACTGCTGCCTTGGGTGATAGCGTCCCCTTCAGTTGCAAGTAGAAGATCGCTTCTGAAATTGGAGAGATCAGTCGCACACAAAGACCACCAGAACACAGCCGAGGCAGACTCAGCTGTTTGGAGCGGATATGTGACGCTCGATAGCTCTTCTGTATCTGCCTGATATATCTTCAGTTGGTGCTCTCTCAGACGTATTTTCGACAGCGACACTATCTCTTCCCACCAAGTCATAAGTTTGCACATCAATCATGTTTCCATATCATGAATGATACGTACACTGAGGCGTCCAGGTCGGTTTTGTGTCAGTGCAAGTATTCTCCTCTTCTCGGAAGTAACACTCTTCCAGGGGACATTCTCGGTGTCCTCTCGCGACGTCCAGTGTTCCAGGCCTGGCCGGCGGCCGAGTCCGATGTCCCCGTGCACTGCTGACGCCACCAGATGCATCGGCGATGACAGCAGGGGCGGCTGCGCCGGTCGATCGAAGTCCGCATCAAAAACCGCCGCGACTCCCAAACACTGAACAGGCCTCAATCTCACAAGGTCGGTCCGAGGACCGCGGCGACAATAGGTGGGCTGGCCTGGAGGCGCACATATAAAGGGACAACAGCACGCCTCCGTCCGTCACTGGGTTTGGGTAGCGAGCGCGGCTGGCGCTGGCATTCCCGCCAGGTCGTCAAAGCTGCACTGGCTTCTGACATTTCGGCTGGGTTTGCCAGCGGAAAAACATCTCTTCCGTTTACACCAGCGGCCAGTCCACATCTGGAGCACTCCAAAACAATAACGGTAAGTGTTCCCAGCCTCTGCCCCAAACAGAAAGCCCACCATTAGCCATTGTTGCAAACGACCGAGTCAAGCTCCGAGCAGCGGCGTTCTTAGAATGCAAGGTGGCCCGTGGTGCCTGGACGCTCCCGTTGTGGTTGGCCGGGAGGAAACTGCTCGGGCTTTTCATCCCGGGTACGACAAACCCTTCCGTCTTCACAAAATGCACGAACCGTCCATGCATTTGCGTAAAGTTTCCCAGCTTATCCTTGGACTTTGTGGGAACTTGAGGACCGACCTCTGCATTTTAGTTTTGAACGCGTCCCCCATGACAGCCACTGCCACGTGTCACACCTGTCAAGCCCACTTTTGGGATGTGTCCGGCTTATGGAGTTTTCAGCAGCACATTTTGGGTCGCGTTGGTCCTAAGGACAGCTATCGCGATGGTTGACGGTCGGCAGCCCTCGTTGAACAAAAGCAATTCATGTCCTGCGTTAAAGGTGTGGCGAAAGCGACGCGTGGCCGACATAATTTTGATACCTTGGACGTACCACAATGGCCTGTTTGGGTGTCTTATAGGTAGATATTTAGCCCCAAATGACCGGAAACCGACATAAAATGAGCATGTTACTATCGCTTCCAAATGGTGGTAAGGAACGAGCAAAAACAAAGACAGCTCGGCCTCCGCCCACCGTTATTGCTTCAACATGACAAAATGCTTGCACGGAGAAGACTGGAACACTGATAGGACGTTTGTGGTAATGAGCGGCTCCACCTTATACTGTTGAGCTGATTTTTAAATTCGCGTACTGTCCTTTTTCCACAGCTGTGAAATGGTCCCGGTTGTAATTGGACTTCTTGCGCGCTCATGGTTGATGTGTGCGTGGCAAAACGTTCAGGCACCGCAAAGACTAATTATCATTAACTCTACGTTACACTCGGGACCAGCCAGTGTTCTATGTACGTAAGCCTACAGCTTTCCTGAGCGAGTTCCAGACA